ACTGAGTTTGTAATCCTCTTATATCGGCAAAACCAGCACTGAGGTCTGTTTTGATAGTTGACCTGTCTTTGATGGGATTGTAGAAGTGGATTTTGGAGGAAGAATGGAGGTAGCTTGGTGTTTTGTGTGATTTTCGATGTAAAATGGGGAAGATGCGGGATCGACAATGGGTGGAGTTCATTCCAGCCCTTTGCTAGCAGTTCATCTACTAACCTTCGATGGAATCCAAGTTGACTCAGGATGTTCGTACTGTTGCCAGGTTTGCTGATCTTGGTATAAAGAAAATAAGAGTTCACCAATGTGATATCGAGTAGCCAAAACCATAGAGCAAACCAGTTCCGCCAACACTTCTGATGGGTAGTATAGTTTGCGTGGAGCTGATCAGAGATATCAACGCCTCCTATTTGAAAGTTGTAATCAACAATTACTTGAGGAATAGGAAGAAGTTTTTTATTCTCTCTCTCTTCAAAGACCTTCCGAACGGCGCGAGCATTGGTACTGGTAGATGCTGGCTTCTTTCTTGTACTTAAAACAAGATTTTGTATATCATGAATAGTAGTAAGCAGTAAAACAGTACTGTTATCTTGCCATAGAACAGCACAAACACCATCTATGACCATACCACTAAGGTGATTCCACTCGAGAATTGTGCTTGCTAGAGGCTTGAAAATTTCCAACTCTTTTGGAAACTCTGGTCGGCCTGGCCGTGTAGTCCCAGCTGCTCCTATGCTGTGCATTCGTAGATACCGAAAAAGCGGAATTGTGGTAAACAAATTGTCTAAGTAAATATTGAACTGAAATCTTTTGAAAGGAAGTAGAAATACCAAGGTACAAACAGCGTGACAGGTAGAAGAAAACTAAAGCTGTTCTAGCTGCCTTGATCTCCTCTCTCCTTCCTCCACCCTAAAAACCCACATTCCCATTTCATGATCTAGCTCAGTATACATTTTGGTCTATACCGTCATCTCACTTACTTCATTTCCCACTGCACCTGAATAAAACAAAAATACCCACATGTAACCATGATCAATCGGTTTATTTGGCTGTTTAACAATATGGAGACTTCTTCCCTCAAAAGAAACCATTATCTTATCATAGGACAAATTTGTCGAGGGAAAGTAATATTGTTGAAATTTTTGATGAAGGGAGGAAGCTACTAGCTCGAGTTTTCTAAACCAGTTTTGCATATCGAGTACAATATCGGGTGGGGAAAGATGATAAAATCGTTTAATTTGCTGGTATCGAACTAGTGACATGCATTTACAAGGTGAGCCGGCCTGCTTTAATTCCTCTTCCCAATACATCTCAATATCAGGATATTTAACAAATTCCATATAGATTTGTATGGAAATAAAAATATATAGCTCCGGACCTTGTAGAGGAACCCAATTTCTTGTGAAACTAGTTTCGGAAGTTGAATGGAGGGCTCGTAGTTTGGTCTCGGCGTAGGCATTTGTGTTTCTAACAATTGTATCGAGGATTTCATCATCGAAAAACAAGCTAAAAACTTCGCGTGGTGTTAGACTGGCGGGAAAGTTGGTAGGAAATGTAGGATAGCCTTCATGCTTGAGGAAGGGAGATTTCAGGTAGTCAAAATCGGGCGGTTCAGGTAGGTTTTCAATTTTCATGCGTTGCTCATCGTTCACAGAGCTCTTGCGCTTCTTGGTTGGCATTCTGGGATAGGGCAGAATTGTGCCTTCTTGTCTCTCAAAGTGATGTGGAAATGGATCATGTACAGTATCCTGTTTGCCACAATATCTGACGTTGTGAATTGCTTACTAATTCCACCTTAGAGTCAACTATTTTTGGAGTGTCCCGATTCTGCATGTCTCACCAGCCCATGGGATAGCTTTAATCCTAACGCACCCTCCTCAGGCTCCCATAGGACGGGGCCGTGAGACTAAACGGGTTGGAGCTTATCATCACCATATGAGTTAAAATTCCCTCGTTTCCCACACAAACCTCCATACTGAACGTGGTCGGCCAACTGCTGGTAAAGATAGAAATAGTGAAAATAGACAGTATGTTTTCCAAACCGCTGAGATTACCCCACACTTGTCTGCTCAAACTGTCACAACAGAGTAGACAGGTATCGAGCCTAGGGGAAAGGAGAGATTTTGTTGTCCAGGTTTGCTGATTCGTATCTTGGCAGTCGCCCTTTCGGTCCCCCACATGTGAATACTCCAGCTGGTCTCTCTGCCCTGGATTGCAGATTCGTATTTTTGTCGCCCCCCCTGCCTTTGTTAACCTTTCGGCTCTCCGTATCCAAACCCCCGTCAGGCCCCACTGTCCCGGATTATTGTTTTTGTCCCCCTTATGGCCTTTGTCGTCCTCCTGGTCCTCCACATCCAAATTCCCCATTAGACCCCACTAGCCCGGCTTGTCGATCCCTATTTTTGTTGCCCCTTTAGTCTCCCACAGCCTAGCCACCCAACCCATCCCAACCATCTAACCATCCAACCCATCTCAATCACCCACCCCATCCCAATCATTTATCTCATCCCCATTATTTATCCCATTCTCATGCCCCCCCTTACAATTAGTCTCCACCTCCGACCTTGGTGACCAAAGGGCTGTGGGCCCAGACAACCTGAGCTGAATAGTCCCTTGAGAGGAGTGTCGGATTTTGGTAGCCGTGTATGAGTCTATGACACGTTTCGATCACCTACTCGTAAATGGCCCAACAAAACCAGACACTCGCCCCAAGGGACTGCTCAGCCCAAGTCACCTGAGCCGGCAGCCCCTGGTCATCAAAGTCGATATAACCCCCGGGGCCCCAAGCTCATCCTCCCCTCCCACTCATCCTGGATATATAATACCTGGATTTTTTCAGACTCGTATTTTCATGGCTGCCCTTTTCGTACGATAATTGTCGTCCTTTCCGTCCTCCACATAGTTGGTTGTGGCGCTGGTGTGGTGCTATATGTTATGTGTTGAGCGAAGCAAAGAAGGAAAGAAGGAAGAAACCAGAGGGACTGCGCCTTTATATACCCACTCCAACCAACCAACCGTCACCATAAAAGCCGGGAACTAGGGATATCATATAATACGCCCCATATCTTATTTTCCCTATGATATCATGATTTGTCCCGAATATAACCCATAACCCTAGCCCATGACCACTCCTGATCTGCCTGTCCAATCTGGTATCATACCATACTCTCTCAGCCACACTATATGCCAGTCCGGTCGTAAATCTCCGAGGTAATCCTTCACAAAGAAAGAATCTAACAGGATATAACCACCCTCTCAAAGCATCTCCCGGGTGATATGAGGAGGATCGACTTCAACATTCCACTTTAAGCTTTCCTATATGTCAGTTAATAAGTTACTAGCCAACCACTGGTCTAACTACACATCCTAACCTATGCCAGACACCCAACAAGCTCTATTACAGCCCACCAAGTAACCACGCCCAAATTAAAATTCCCTTGAGAGAACTCTCACCATAAGAAAGCTTACTTGTATAATACTGAGTGAGAGCCAATGGAAGGACTACTTACATGGTACGCAAAGAACCTGCGATCGGAAACACCTGATCCAGGTTACGAACGAACGAACGAACCTCCGCGAGGACCGCGCGAGAGGCCGCACCACCCCCGTGGCGAACACCGCCTCCCGCCAGCTACCCGGGGGCTAATCCGCTCTCGGGATATCAGCTACTGAACCGGCTATGGGCATTTCATATGTAGTACAAGTACCTGTCACGGGAGTAGGGATCGTTGTCTTAGATAAGCTGCGTGTGCGCCTAAAGAGTGCCATACTCCAAGTAACGTAATACATTTAACCAATGGTAATCTCCCTCAGTGCACAATTAGAACGTCAACATCTAATCATTTACTAACCAATAAAACATGAATAAGAACTAAGGGGCTTCGATGTTCACGGTACGGGGGTAAGTCACATGAAAGTTGGCAGAGGAGTATTGTGTGGGAAGCACCGTGACGGTGCACCGAGTGCGGATGTGAATCTGCTTCGTTTGACATACCCAGACTCCCAAATTCACTGCTCGATTAATAGCGAGGAAGGAGGTTATCAGGTACGTAACGAATTTCCTGAAATGAGAGTGAATCTGTGGCAATCCCCCATCAATACTAAAGGTAGTGAATTATATATATCACCCACGACTGACACCAACCGCTAAAATGTACCCATCCAAAGAACAGGAAGGAGCACCTATAACCCACCCGCCCGTCCACGTCTTCTGAATTTGAGGGATATTCGATAGAACCTACTCATACCAAGTGGGCCGGACCCCGAAGTTGGCACCCAGGCAGGAGAGAGTCTTTTGCTCGTCAACAGGAAAGAAGCTAAGGATATAATACAGTCCTACAAAGAAGAAGAAAACAAAGAAACTGACAGGAGTACTTGAAGCCCTTCCATAATTAAGATAACAGCTGTTTTCCCATTGCCTGATAACATACTGCAGCTGACAAAATATCATAAATACCACGAGAAATGTTCTGAGTGGCCTATCCCACTTTAAGATATTAGCATAGACAAACCCCAGCGAGGGGGGGTGGGTAGGCTATAGCAGTTAGGGGGTCAGTCATAAATTGTCAATCGATGCGCTCTGTTGGCAGTGAGTGCTGAAAAGGAGATCGCGGTGCTCTACCATCCCCTCCAGCCAACGCTATAAGTTTGCTACATTCTGAAAAGATATTGGGATAGCTATGGCCCACACATATCCGGAAAAGTCAAGTATGAAGATATCATACCCGGAAAGCGGCTAATGGTAGCAGAATCACGCTGAAATCCAACAATCCATACTCCCAACAAAAATGTTGCATTATCTTTCAACACGCCACCTCGTAGTATTTATGTGACATCAAAAAAGCTATGTATCGAAGCTAGTCGTTGAGAACGAAAGAAATCGGGAATCGAAAATCGAAAGCCGAAAAACAAATCTCCTGTGCACATCTTTCGCCTCTAAAAACCTAAACAAATATTTCTACACCTCAACGTACATACAGGAAGCCATCAGACAAACTCCTTATCCTTCAACGAAAGGCCCTTCCATTGGCAGGTGAAGCTTCATTTCCGGGTTGATCCCCCGTAAGTCTAATCCATAGTTCCAGCATGCCTGCCCGCCTCGTTGGAAGCATGCTATATTGCATTGAATACAGATTCTTTCTATGAATAGGTGGTACGAAACGGCCGGTCATTAAGCATAGGATAACATGGGGCGAGACATAGTGTTTCCGGATTCGCTGGCCGAGTTGGAAATATTGGTGGAACATCGCGCCAAACGGTAGGGGGGTTGACTGAAAGGTTTGTTAACTTAATTCACACAGCAAGGCGATCGGTGGATCTATTACCTTCAAATTGATGTAGGAAAGCGGAGGGATTTCATAGCTCCTCCTAAACCCTTTGACAACAGCAACCGTATCTAATAACTCGAACCTGATACCACCCGGAAGTCGCTTTGAGTCCTTTACCCGCAACATGAGCGCGAACAGTGGAAAGTGGTTGAGGCAGGCTAAAAGAGTTTCTAGTGAGGCCTTCAACATTATTATAGCCATTCTCGCAGATGCGAAGGTAAGGTAAAACACCAAGACCGTGGGAAGGAGGAAGATTAACAAGGTAAACAGTATAGTGCCAATGAGCAACTGGTCAAGGTCGTAGTCGCATGAGTCGATTCGATTCCTGAGAACATTTCGTTTTTTTCCGCGGAACAGATGGAAGAGAGATATTATGATAGTTAACTGCCAGTTATAGATGCGCGCGGATGCGATATAGAAGGAATATACGTGTAAGGTTAGGATGGAAAGAAGATCCGAGAACAGGGCTATAGGCATTGAGGCACCCGCAAAACTAGAGAACCCAATAGCATAGATTACGCCAGGGAGGTGTGGTCTGATGTTTGTCATAGTATCTGCCCAGTAATCTATGACCCATAGGAACAGATCACCAAGAAAATTCCCCAAGTCGTCATTGAGCTTCAAACCACCGGGGTGTTCCATCAGCCAGCTTATCATTGCTTTCATGCCCTCGACCGTGTAGGCCTACTAGATATTAGACACACAATACTTCCACAGAGAATCTAGCTCACATACTCTCAAGTAATAATCAATCTGGTATGCCACCCCACTTGCGTTCTCAATTATGTAAGAACCCAAAGCAATCCCAATGATAACATCATTAGCCACAAGCCACAGGCTATTGTAAAACCGAATATAATCCGGATGAGATGTGGTGACACTTTCCCAGTCAGCTTTTCGTCGGCGCAGAGTTACATACTGTATTGGCCAATAACAAAACTGCTGAAGGCGGATATCGAACTGCTGGGCTGAGGAATAATCAATAATCTAATTCACCCGAAAATCCTAAGCCCCCTTTCAACTCTGCCGCCCGTTCAGTAGGCAGAAAGAGTAAAATAAGGCTTATTATGAATGGTGGAGAAAATCTTACCTGTAGCAGAAATGTCCTTCAATGCTGCCAATTCGGGCCGCAGCCTCCATTCCAACACTCTTAGAATCGTTTCTGCGACCAATCTCCAAATCAATATTTTCAGTACGAACAGCTTGGTAGCAAATGGCCACAGAAACTTTGCTGTATCCATTAACCCCTTCAACACAATCCTCCACAGCGACGTCGCGGATTCTACCACCCTTTCACTGACACTAAGACTCCTTCTAGAGCGTCTGGATATTATAAGCCCAACATTTTCCTTCAACAATTGCCTCATCTCATGCGAACAATTGACCTGATCAATTATCGTTTGTAAACTTCTTTCCTTCATAGTCGGCGTAGGCCGAACCACCGAGTGAAGTTTAAGTTTCTCCACCAGTTCAGCCTTCCGCTCCCTCTCCCATCGCTCTCCAATCGTGTCATCACCATCCCCGATACTCCCGTTCGTCATCCGATCCTCCAGTGCCAACGATATAGGGGTCAAGGATAGATATTGCATCCGCCGCGGGTGTGGTCTCTGAAACAGTATCACTTGGAAATCGATCCCGCTGGCCGGTGGACAGAATATCTGAGGGTACCGGCAAGACTTATCGGTAAAAGCGTATATGTGGTCTGGCCGAAACAATGGACCTGGCTCTTCATTGACACTCCCGAGGACGTGAAGTTCGGTTCTACCGCAAAGCTCAAATATCCGTTCGACAGAATGTAGAGATTTTCGGTAAAGACTCCGTGAACTCAATTCTTTCGCGACCCTCCTGCTCTGGTTTCCCCAAATCAGCCTCAACTCTAAAAAAAACCAATTCCATTCCTCCATTCCTCCATTCCCATGGAAGAAACCCACATCGACCCCATTCAGTATATCCACCACAAATATGTCCAACTCCGAGTTCCTCCATCCCACCAAAACCCCTGGCTGACTGCTGCGCTGAAAATCCAAAGGCCAGAACACACGCATCAAACCATTCGAACCCATCAATAGAAACTCCCCCTACGGCGCAACTGCTCTCTGGCCGAAATCGCACTTCCGCTCCGCGTCTGCTGTAAGACGAAAATGCAACGTCAGCGCGAAACTCGCTTGTCGCCGAGCCAAACCAAGATGACGGTGCGGGTGATGGCGAACCAAACTGATCTCCCTCGAGGCAATTCTTTCGATAGGTATAAAGAACAAGAAGAAAAACAACGATAAAATTAAAAAACCCTTTGTAACCCGCCCCTAAAAAAAAAAAAATCAACGCATGAGTGAGCCTGAAGTACAGGGGGGCGAAATTAAGCTTCCTAAGCCCAGAGACTCATGAGACAGACGAACCAAAACTCCGTGATCCCAGGCGAAATAGCCCAGATCTATCGCTTGGGTTATAAGGGAAAAGCGAGCAGTAATGTATCCGGCAATAAAAACCACGATCGTTAATACCCTGAAACGACGAGACAAAAGTCAGTACGTATAATGTAAGGGGAGGCAGGTTGAGAGTGTATGAAGCAACGGGGGGTTGAAATGTGGGAAGCTCCTACAGAGGCCGCATGAAAAGCTACTCATGGAAGAACTTGGATCTTCCTGACCAAGTCGAATTCAGGAAGTCCCACTACAGCTTCCGGGTCAACATCTAGAGAGGAAAAAGGAGCAAAGTTTATTTAGAGAGGGTGTGGGAATGAGTGGGGGAGATGGAATGGGGGGGGGCTCTGTGGCAGGCAGTACGCACTAGATCGGGACGTGTCGGTGTTTGAAGAGGACAATTGTTATGGGAGGGTTCGCCGTGAAGTCTGCAGCCCGGGTCTAGCAGGGAGCAGGGAATTGAATAATTCCGGACCAACAACTCAAATCAATCTCGCTCCTTTCCTCCCAGAGAGCGAATCCCTGCAACACTTCCAAAGCCCCTTGAGGTTGAATTGGCCCGACAAGGTGAAACTCTTCGCATGAAGTGGACCTCGGTGGTAAACTTCGTGACAATCTTTCTCGTGTCATAACAAAGACACCAAGAACAGTACATACTCGGGTATGCAACAGAGCGTAAATTACTGGAGTTCTCTACGATGCCAGCACAGTGTCGTACCTCAACGACCTCCTTTTGATGGAGCTCATCATTTTCACCGTCGATGACACGACAAAAGTGGCTTACAAAAGCTTCTTTTTCTCCTTTTGCCCCTGTTACCCCAATTACAGTGAGCCGCCCACGGGTATTCTGCCGGCACCATCTTAATTTGCTGAGATATAATACACTAACTCATTCCTCTCCCGAACTCCCGCCTAATTCAATCATGTCGCTAGAGGAAGAAAAAATCCGCCGTCTCCAATTCAAACCCTGACCACCACCAACCTGCATGTCATTCGCCAGAGGGGTAACGTCCTTGCGGCTCAACAGTCCTCCCTCTCACCTCCTCCGTATCCGCCTCTTCGCAACGTCAATACCGGTACCTCAACTCCGTCTGACAATGGGGCAAACAAGAGAGAAAATATACTCCTGCTGGACCCAAAAGGATTTGGTGGCACGCATTTTAGAATTGGAGGGAAAGCAAGATAAGTAAGGGAGCCGCCCTCTTGATCCTTTCCCCGAACAGCACTGATGATGTCTAGAATTAAAGTAATACATCCCAAAAAGCCCAAGCGAAAATTCGATCCCTCTTTATACTCTACCCGACATATTGCCTTGCGGATAGCGTATCTGGGAGGGAATTACACGGGTTTTGAGTATCATGCGAATAGCCCCAACACCACAAACACCATCGAAGAGCACATATTTAAAGCATTATTAAAGGCTCGGTTAGTACCCTGCAACGGTATTGAGGGTGAGGAGGAAACAGTGCTTGGATGGCCCGGTGATGAAGTAGCCGAGTATTCGAAATGCGGTAGAACCGATACAGGAGTCTCCGCCTTTGGACAGGTAATTGGTGTTCGAGTACGCAGCAACAGGCCGCTGCCAAAGAAACCTACCGATGACGTTGCAGAAGAGGGCGGTGAAGAGGGGAAAGAGAAGACTGAATTTGACGATGAAAAGGATGAACTTCCATATCCACAGATTCTAAACCGACTGCTTCCGAAAGACATTAGAGTTCTGGCCTGGTGTCCACATCCCCCACCCACATTTTCCGCTCGGTTCAACTGCCAACAAAGACACTACCGCTACTTCTTTACAAACCCCGCCATAGTGCCCTCACCAAACTCTACGGTCGGAAACCTAGACATAGACAAGATGCGTGAAGCCGCAAAACTCTACGTTGGCGACCACGATTTCAGAAACTTTTGCAAACTCGACGCAAGTAAGCAAATCACCCGCTTCGACCGGGTAATCCACCACGCAGATATCGTCGAGCTACCGCAATCCTCACCAAACAACAATCCAAAAGTATACTACTTTGAGCTCCATGGGTCGGCATTCCTCTGGCACCAAGTTCGGCACATGATTGCCATCTTATTCTTGATCGCTCAGGGGCTAGAGCAACCTAGCCTGGTTACCGAAATGCTGGACATCTCCAAAAACCCTCGGAAGCCAATGTACGATATAGCCAACGACAGAGCCCTCGTTCTCTGGGATTGCATCTTCCCGGACGGGATGCTGCAATGGTTGTATGCACGCGGAACCGGGCTAGAAGGTCGCGACGAACTCCTTGATGACGTCTGGTCTAGTTGGCATAAATCTAAGATCGACGAGATACTAACGAATGGATTGATGAAGATTGTTTCCATAAATGGAGACCCGACCTCAAATCCCGCGCTCCAGAGCGCGCCTCCGATGCTTTGTTTGGGGGAACTTCCTGCAACTGCCCAGGCAATGGGGGTAGCAAAGAGGAAAGCCAAGGGCAGGTCACAGATCCTGGTCGAGGGCGGCCACGAGCCGTTGTTTAGGGGGATGTATATCCCAGTCTTGGAGAGAAAACGAATGGATGACATCGAGGTTATCAATGCGAGATATGTGGAGAAGAAGGGCGATTGGCAGGAGAATAGGAAGAAGAGGGAGGCGAAGAGGAAGGCAGCCGGTGTCTCTGAGGAGGAAATTATGCGAACGAGTGAGAGCTTATGATGAACCCCAACCATCTGGGCATATATCGTTCGGTGGGTTTTGGGGTACATAATTGGCCTGTAAATATAAATTAGAGTGATAGTATGGCTGAGAATTCCCATACGTCCTCTTTCATTAGAAATTTAACATCAATATAACATAGACTTCTCTCACAAAACTAATCTTTATCCCGGCGAGCGAAAATGTCCTCACCTAGCATCACTCGAGAAATTCATCCCCCGCTCCAGAAGTTCGGCTCAAACAATACCAGCACGGCAGCCCGATAACTATCGTATCGGATCCGGGGAATAGCCGCCTATGTCCTCCGGCTTGTCTCGCCGTTTGCTTGGTCCCGGAGTCCAAACTTTATGTCAACTCAATCGTAAGTTAATACCCGACTAGCCGTCAAGCTTGCCTACGGTGCCCCTAGGTTTGCTTCCTCTCTCTTCTCCCCGACTACAAACCACCGGTAGTTCCCTCCGTTCTGCCCTCCCCTTCTCATACCACCCCACCTCCATCTCCTACTGACGAAATCACCTGATCCGTCGCTTCTCCTTTTCTCCGCTGATTCGCCGGGCTCTCTCCGGCCCCCAGAAGGCTTGAGTTAATGGTATTATACCGGTAGTTGGCCTTTCAGATATCACCCTCATTCTCCACCCTCTCTTCGAGGGCAGGGTAAGTCGTTGGTAGCGCAGAAATGGTTTTTTGGGGAGGGGATCAGTATCTCATTCGGGTTGCTCAGGGGTGCCTCCTAGAAATCGAGTCTGCATTTTCGGTAACCTACCGGTACAACAGACTGCCGTGTTCGCGTTATATTTGGCAACAATAGTTCGGCTCACAGGACGATGTCTTAACGTTTGCCCCACGTTGTTCCCACTGGAACGGCCGCCCCCTTGCTTCGCACAGTTTTGCTAGAGCTAGCGTGCGGCCTTTGTTCTTGAGTACCAGTACCCCTGGACCCCTTATCTCAGCAGAAAGCCCTCAGCACAGTGCACAAACCCAAATTGTTGTGTCCCCTGCGGGCCTCACTGTCGGAAGCTTTGCCTGCCGCGAGCACACAGTGGACCTGCTCATGGATCGCCACCATCGCACAAAAGCACAAACCAAGGTGCAGATCTTTTTTTTTTTACACATTTTATGAACCCACGTGGGCATAGCGTGGGAGAATCTCTTTTTGAACACAATGTGCGTAAAGCCCCAGCAGCCCCGAGCGGTACGGTGCCTGTAAGACAAGTACAAGTGCGCGATCGTCTCGGGGGAGCGGAAGGCGATGAATATGATATCGTAGAAATTCTGTGCAAAATTCACTTTTTTTCCTTCGAATTCAATGCCTCAATGGGGAACTGAAACTTTCTCGGGGCGAAAACGGTATGTATTATAGATATTTCAGCAAGTCCTTGGTTCTGGTTGGCAAGCCAACAAACGCACAAGCACGGCACGAGTTGGGCCCCCGGCAACTCAATCAGGGCAATTAACCATAGACGGGCTTATCGTTCACGCTGGGGCTCGGTGGATAGTGCGATAGGGCAAGTAACTGTAAGGTAAGGTAAGATACTCGAGTATAATATTATGATATCCACGCGAAGGCCTCGTGGGTGTGAGGTGGGGAGAAGACGGTGAATCTGGGGCTCAAAGAAAAAACAAAAAAACTCCACCCCCCGTATCATACGGTACCCCTTCGGTTACGGTAAGACACCGGTGGGTATGAGCTGTAAACGGACGAGTGATATTTTAGGCTTGTGACCTTCGCAACGGGTACGGTCTGATACGGGACTGGGCGTCTGAAACCAGCCTCACCACGACCAAGCCCGAAAACGAACGGGCCCCAACAGACAGAGTTGTTGGTGGAATACTCGCTTGTGCCAGTACCGGTACAAGCACTTAAAATGGGTTCCTCTTTATTTCTTTTTTTCTCTGATCAAGTGTGTGTTTGTTGAGAATGGTAATGGTATTTAAGTGGGGAGTTTCGAGAAAAGTGGCGAACATATGATACTGGTATGATATTTACTTAAGGGCACCAGTGTATCTATACTCGAGTGCTTGTAGTGTACTAGTACTCGGGGGTCACCATAAGTCGGGCGCACTTCCGAAATGGGCACTGTGCATATATGGGAACTAGAACTAAAGAGGAAGGCCAAGTGATGCCCAATGACCAAAATACGTGAAGGACAAAAGTCAGGCGCACTTTCACAATTTCCTTTTTATTTACAAACTAATATGGCATAGGTCCTCCCTCAGCATCTATAACTGCCTGTAATCGTTGTAGCATGCTATGAATCAAGTTCTCCAATCGTTCTACAGGAATTCCATGCCATACAGTATTTAGAACCCGCTTCAAAGTAGGAATATCCCCCACCCTCACCCATGTCTCTCCCAGTTCTGCCTCCATATCTATCTAAAGAGCTTCAATTAAATTCAAATCAGGTGACTGTGCCGGCCACCTGATTTGCTCCATCTCATTTAGCCTTCAGTAGTGGTTAGCTGCCCCCTTGTAGCCCGGAGCGCTATCCTCAACAACTCCAACCCAGCCATATTCCTCACAACACTTGTGCCAAAAAGGCACCAGGTATGGCTCCATGATATTGGTAACATAGAGTGTAGAGTCCATATTAACATTTGATGGAACAAAAGCTAGGTCAGACTTTAAGGTACCGCAGAAAGTGTTAGGAATACCAGAACCCGATACCTAGGAACGACCCTAAGTAGGGTAACCCCACTTGGAATCGGAATCTGTGGTCACCAACACCCCCCTCCGGCTCCCTTACGGGGCCCGCACGTCATCATATATATCAATCTCAGTTGTGTCCTGTGACTATATTACCACATAATTGAAGTTGTTAGAATAACACCATATACGTTGTCGCTGTCTATCTGACCAGATCCTGTTCGCAGGATACATGGGAGGGGACCTTCGCCTAGGTCTGGGAAGTGGAACGGAGTGATTCTGTCAACTACTCAGAGAGTTACTTGGCTCCAAAGACAAGATACCTTTGGCACAGGCCGTAGGTAATGGGACGATTTCGCACAAAGAAATGGTATCAAATGGTAAAGAATCTGTTAGGAATATGTTAGGAATACCAGAACCCGATACCTAGGAACTACCCTAAGTAGGGTAACCTCACTTGGAATCGGAATCTCTGATCTCCAACACCCCCCTCCGGCTCCCTTATGGGGCCCACACATCATCATATATATCAATCTCAGTTGCATCCTGTGACTATATTATCACAGAATTGAAGGTGTTAGAATAACACCATATACGTCGCCGCCCTCTGTCCAACTGGATCCTGCTCGCAGGATATATGGGAGGGGACCTTCGGCTAGGTCTGGGAAGTGAAACAGAGTGCTTCTGTCAACTACTCAGAGAGTTACTTGGCTCCAAAGACATGACACCTTAGGCATGGGCCGTAGGTAACGGGACAGTTTCGTACAAAAAGATGGTATCAAATGGTAAAGGATCTCTACTAGAGACCAATACATTTACATCCACCAGAAGAGTCTAGAACTCTAAAAGACACTACCAAAGAAGCCAACGAACTTCACGGAGTGTTGCAACTGGGTTTCGGAACATGTCGTAATCATGAGGTGATTCTTAATACTTCAATGGTTACTGAAACCTAGTACCCAGAGAGCAACCAAGGGTTGCCGACCAAGGGATTAATTACCAACCTGGTGGAATAGCTTCCTGTGAGTTAATAGGAAGTCATCCAGAGAAAATCTATTAGTTGGGTATGAAGTTACAAAGGATCAGAGTTAGACGACCTACGATGGTTGTAATGACGACCACCTATGCAGATATAGCCATGGATAAGACTGATCATTTTATCAATGGCAAAGACAATTGGAGCCAACTCAGTTCGACTTAAGAACTAGGCCATAAGTCTAAAGACTCTACTAATCGAGATATTACTATTGGAAACAGGACGCTTGCTAAGAAGAAATATTGTAATTACCAAAGAGGGTGTGATGGTTTTCAGGGTCCACAGGTGTTCGCACCTTGGAAGTAAACTCAATGTCGTGAATTACGATTGAAGAAGTACATAGTTGTATGATAATGTCACGAACGTGGCTTGGCATGAAAGAGGTTTTCATGTGACATATGGTTATGAGTCACAGGTATGTTATTGTTTTACACATATGACTCATTCGGGTCATATAATTTGTTATGTGTAGGATTTGTGATGCTTTCGCACATGGCTCAAATATGAGTCATGGGACGTGCGCCTGGCTAGTATGCCCTGCGAGTATGCCTTGTAGGTAAGCCTTACTGTCACGAACGTGGCTTGGCATGGAAAAGGTTTTCACGTGACACATGGTTATGAGTCACAGGTAGGTTATTGTTTTGCACATATAACTCATTTGGGTTATATGATTTATTATGTGTGGGATTTGTGATGCTTTCGCACATGGCTCAAGTATGAGTCATGGGACGTGCGCCTGGCAAGTATGCCTTGCAAGTGTGCCTTGGGGGTAAGCCTTGCGCATATGATTTAAGTTTCGCACATGACCTCATTATAAGGTCATGGGTTCCGTGCATATGATTCAGTCGAGTCATATGACTTGTTTATTGCGTTATGATTGGTTTATGAGTTTTGCACATGACCTCGCTATGAGGTCATGGGTTTTTGAGCATGTGATCATATTGGTCACATGATTAGTTTGTTATCATTTGGTTTCGCACATGTAACCACTTTAGGTCACATGATTAAAGGCGGGAAGAACACTATATAAGGAGGCCGATGCGGCCAAGGAAGATAGGTTCTTCACGCTTTGTTCTAAGTACTTTTCCTACTTATTACTTTAACGAATATAAAACACCGTTACAATCTTTATCTTTATTACAAAGCTATTGTTACGCAGAGGAGAGCTCTTCACGAAGAAGAGTTAGAGAAAGCTTACGATAGGCGTTCCCGATAGAAGACAAAGGTCTTGTACTATCGGTAACGTAGGCATAGGCCTAGAGCTATCGTTAGACCAAAGAAGAAGATGAAAGAAGAGACAAGTATCATTCCCCGTCGCCAAGAATTAACTACCGAGAAAGGGATCGTTACATTACAAAGCGTCACCTAAGTGCAACGCCAAACGATACAAGACGGCATC